GCTGTTGCCGAGCGACTCAACCCGTACGTTGAGGAGAACACGAACCCTGAGGCAGGTCCACAACACGCTGCCTCATCAAAAATTCCAACAGATCAAGATCCTGCAAAGGACGGCGGTCCATTCTGGCCGTCATCCCCGGTCTAATCACCCCTGAACGAGCAGCTGAGGCACGTCGACAGCCTCAGCACCACGTCAGTTGAGGGTGCACTCAACGAACAAGCTTTGCCCCTCGCGAGAACTGGCTCTTCATGAAGAACTGCTTGCCGCGACGATGTCAGCAACCCAAATTAGCAGCGACGGCAGGGAAACTGCACACGAACGGCAAACATCCAATTGACCGTCAAGCGAGCAAGTGCACTTGTAGAACCTCTCACAACTGACCCCCAGAACGCCACGACCGGTCGTAGCCACTTCCCAAGGTCAGCGAGGTCAGAGCACAGGTCAGCCCCACGGGTCGGGGCAGCCTTGTCCACAACGTAGCGATACAATACACCAAAGGTGCTTCTCTCCGCCTCAACGAAGCTGTGCAGCGACGAACGTTGGTCACTTTTGGCCAGCAGCGCGACCGCGCTGGCAGTGCTTGTCTTGAACGGCAAGGGAAACGGATCAAAAAAGGCACAGACTGGCCGCGACCTTCGAAAAGGTCGAGGGCTATTGCGCCCAGGCCGTGGCGAACGTTGGGCACACGGCCAGGGGAGTCAGGCAGCGAGGCTGAGTGCCCAGACCGCCGCGAGAGTCACACGCGAACGCCGCACCACCATTGTTACAGCTGCCGGGCCGAGTGCAACAGCACAGAGTTCCTTTTAGCTTTCGCCACTACTTGTAGGGCCCCCCCCCCCCCCCCAGGTCTGGTAAATACCCGCCATTCCTAAGAGATGCTCTTTTGTTACCCGGAATCTTTCTGCCATACCCGCCGTTTCATTGCAACTCAACCCGGTACGCCCCACTGCCCGCAATCAGCCACCACAGAATGCCCCCCAAGGGCCACATTCCCATCAGACAGCCCCATTTTCTGCGGTCATCAACCACGTAATTGCCCCACGGGGCATATTCCCATCAAACAACCACGCGGCGCCTCCACGCGCCCCTTCTGGCTCCGTCTCGCCGCGGACCGCCAGGCGGGCAGCTCCTAAGCAAACGCACGCGTACAATGGCAACCTGGGTGCTCCTCAGCAATCCAAGGCGTTTTCCGGGTGTGTCTGACTCAAGTCTCCGTGTGATGCGCTGCCACGTATTGGCGTTGTACTCAGCATCTTTACAATACCCTAATGGACTCTTTGGGCGTATGAAGTTGCCATAGTCTATCTTTGTCATCGAAGTCATCTCCCTGCGCTCTGAGTGCCTTGAGCCGCAATAATAGAAAATTATGTAGCGTGCCTGACTGATTACTTGGGGGTTTCCCACCTCATTGAGCGCCAAGCTGCTTGATGATGATCAGTGTGGCGAAGGTGCTGAGGCTGCCGACATCCCCTCTGCACCATATATGGACCTCACGGGTCGCCAGTGGAGTGATATTATTACTAACTTTTTGATGAGCAACATTAAATGCCGACCCGAACAATCCTCAAACGGCCCTGCCCACAGCGCCAAAAATATTCAGGACGAATGCTTACTGCGCTTGCGGACAAGGATCCTCAACCACATATGCGCGTGAGGAAACTATCTTCCAACTCTAAACAAAACCGTCCAGATAGCATGTGCAATACCAAGGTACACCCAAACCTCGTGGCATCAACGAGCATACAAACCTATCATTTCCAATTTCTGCTTCGAGAAAAATAACTCGGAGACAGGTCGGGTTAATATGTCCCCATGCGGCACAAATGCAACCAGACCATATTGTAGCAATGTATGCATGCCAGATTTTCACATCCAGTCTTCTGGGCTAACTTTGATATGCAACTACTCACTGTCAGGACCTCCCACAGCGTTGCTACAGGTAGAATGGATGACAATTTCCTCATGCTTATGGATCCACCAATTTCCATCGACAGGTGGCGCAAAGCTGTGACGATCCCCCGACGGTGATGACGTCAATTTCGATCCTAGTTCGAATCTGATGATCACGATCGGGGATGCTGATAATTGAAATGGGTAGATCTCAATGGCGGGTAAGTTGGCTATCTGAAATTGGATCCGTTGAAAACCATGCTATTCACCAATGCCTGCACCACACGTGTCCAATTCTGGTCAGGCCTTACAATCATGCAAACCAACTGTACATTGGATCCTACAGAAATTTGCCTAGCATCAGCTTGTGTCCGTGTAAGAGGCAGCCTAGTAAGGTGTGATCCAGTAAGGGGGGAAATAACAGGGCGGTTACTGGGTGATTGTTCGATTCAATAGTTGCGGTGCAAGGGGATAGTTAATCATTAGTCAATTAAGTCTGACAATCTAATGTAGCGCTTTCAGCTGAGCTCATTTTTCGGGGCATATAGGACCCAGGATATTTCAGTGGTGGAACCTGCCGTAGCACCTGGGGCGGAACAGGCGCCAGTTGGCATCTGCTTCATCGGTGAATGGATTATCCATTGTACAACGGATATCCATTGTCTTGTTGCTGCAAGCGCCGCCTCCGGCAGCACTGGGCCAGCCCAGTGTCCCGGCAGGTGCTGCACAGCCGAAAGCAGAGAAAAGGTTCCCAATTTCTGGCGGCGTCAGCCAGAAGGGGTCCGTCGACGGCAACGCCGTGTGGTGCTGGGATGGCTCTTCAGTGCTGTTGGCGCTGCGGCAGCTGCCGACAATGGGGACCATGGGTGTTCACGCAGTACCCCAATTCGGCGGGATCGGCATGCATGCATGTTCATGAACTGTACCAGAAACGTACCATGAACTGTACCAGAAATGTACCATGAACTGTACCAGTTGCCCGATCTCCCATGTCGGACGGCCAAACTTTTCGAAAATTGTTGGCCGGCGGCGGCGGAGGCAGGAACTCCCAAGCGGAGGTGGTGAGAAGCCACAATGGCAGGATGCCGTGCCCTGAGATGCGGTGTCCGTCGCTGGGTATCCCATGTGCTGACAGCGAATGCGTCTTACTTTCCAATCGGGCATAGTCTTGTTGTCACACTACTGCGGGATCTTCACGATCGGGGCAGACCCGGGCACCCCCGGCGGCCCCCGGTGGATCCTCGTCGCGTGAGTGCACGCCGATGACAGCTCGGAAGAATCTACGATGCGGACGTAATACTTAAAGCGGGGAAGCTGCCCGGGCGCCAGCCATGCGGAGGAGGTGCACAAATAGGCAGCGCATCCGCCCGCTGGGCAAGTAACAGTTTTCTGGTGGAATAACCCGCAACGCCTCTCAACGCCCTCCTATGCCCTTTGTTGCGTGGCCGGAGGGCCAGACGCTCGTGGTGGTGTTGCTGACGGCGGCGGCGACGGTGTGCCGTGGTGGCGACTCGAATTCGTCAGCTGGAGTCAACGTTTCAAGTAAGCACACCCCGTCCCCCCCTGGGCCCTCCTCCATCATCAACTCGCGCGCAGGTCTCGAGGCCCCCAGGCTGTGGCGCAAGTCGGAGCGCCACCCGAGAAAAAGTCGCTTGCGGTGCGGGACGCGTGTTCCAGCGATGTTTTCAGAGATGTTCCGGCCGTGCCGGACAACATCCCGCACAGATCGTCTGTGCGGCGCCGTCCAGCCCAGCGCCCCCCCCCCCTTCCCCTCTGAATCTGGCCAGGTAGGCGGGCTCGCATCAGCTGGGCCACCACACCCCGCCACGCACAGCCCAATTCGACGGCTGGCACAGCACGGTGGGCGGCCCAGCCGCGCCTGCAAGCGTCTTTCTCACCCGCTTCGGGGCGTCTGCCACGCTTGGATGCGTATTGCGATCGCGGCACTGGCTCCCCGGGGTGGGCTGGGCCCAGGTGGTGCCGCACACCCTCCGCCCCGGCTCGCGCCATCTCTTGCACCGCGAGACGTGAAGATGTCTGAGTTTGGCGGGATGTGTCAACACCCCCCATTCTGCCGTGGTCCCACTCGCGGACCGCGGCCGCGGTGTCCGCCGCTTCGGGGCAGCGATCGTGCCGGGCTGTGGCCCTTCGAAGCACCAGGGGGAGCCGCCCATCCCGCTTTCGTTTCCCAGGGCCAGTTCCGAACTATCATCCAACTGCCGGCCTTCGAGGCCGCTCCCAATAAGGCCGATCGCCCGGCAGTCGATCGCTATTCGCGATTCGCGACGACGCGTCGAAAATATCCATCCCAGATTCAGATCCAGCGCCCGCGGCTGCGTGCGGTTTACGTCTCGCGCTGGCGCCACTTGGACCGCTTCGCCGTGGGTCCCTAAGCTTCACAGCGTGCAGCAAGCGGACGCGCTATACGTTCGCCCGCCGGCGCTCCCTCCACACGCGGGTCGCGATCGTGCGCCCATGACGGCCCTCTGCTTTCTGCTCAGTCACTCGATCGCCCTTCCACCGAGACCGGTGGAGCCTCTCGCTCCCTTGCCTTGGCCGCCTTTGCTGACCTTTCTGTTTGTGCTTTGTGCTGCAGAAGCTGTGTGGGAGACTCCCTGGGAGGTGAGAAACGCGTCCAGCCGTGGGTTCGGAGACTATCCGACTGATTAGAAGGCGACGGGCCAGGTGCACCCCTGGAGTGTGTTTGGATGCATCGGGTCGACAGTGCGACCATTGACCGCTGGTGGTCCGCACCGGCCACGAGGATTGTCAAGTAGCTGGAGGAGCTCTCTATGCAATGATCAGGATTGCGAGTCGTCGCCAGCGGTCCCCACACCTAGTGCTCCCCCCTCACCTCTCACAGTTGTGCGATTCGGCGTTTGCTTGTTTCAAGATGTTGACGGATAGCTAAGAGAAAATATTAGAGAGCGAGTAGAGGAAGGTGGAAGAAGCCTGGTATGGAAGAAAGTGCTGTTGAAGATAAATTAAAGTTTCTGGTAGTAAGCATTGATTAACCCCACTAGCATGACCCTACCAGTTTGTTCTATAAGAATGAACCCTGTGCTCTAGCAGGATGATGATGACCAAATTGACCAGAACAGGTCCTTGTAGTAAGCCATAATCCAGTGCAACTGACCTTGTGTGGACCATGCTTGGTCCTGGGAAAACACCTCGTGAGAAATGCTTGCCAGGACTTGCCACAAAATGGTGCCCTGATCAATCATATGAGCAGGCAAGGCAGAGCTGTGCATGCCATGTATTGTATGGTTTCGTGTTGCACTCAGAGAGATCTGCAAAATCATTACTACCACTATCTTAGAGCTCAAAAGAGGTTGCCCATTATATGAGAGCCTTCTATTGTCAACAAACAACTGACAAAGAATTTTCCTGATGTAGGATGGTGGTGTTGTGCCTGCGGGTCGTCTGCCTTATGTGGCGTCTATCAGCCATGTTGGCAACAACCGACATGTCTGCACAGGGGTCCTGGTGGATCCATTGTACGTGTTGACACTGAGTCAATGCGTGGAGGAAAACTCGGTGTACAGCGCTGGCAAGAAGCCCCTTGTGCACCTGGGACTGACACATGTGGACGCAGGAACAGAACAGGTGAAGGGGCCTGCTAATGGCAGTTTTTCAGGTTCCTGTGATTGAGGGCTACATGCTGTTGATTGAAACACTTTTGGACAAATGCTCTCATTATTGTATGTTGATTATGTTTTGCCACCTGCCGCATCTGGAGTGCTGCACAAGCAGCCAGAGACAAGTTGACAGAAGCCCAGCAGATTAACTGATTATTGTTGGGAGCCTGTCAGCACACATTTCTATTTGCACTCTGCAAAGGGTTGCCATCTTCGGTTGGGATCTGCGCTGTCCATAGGTGGTCACTTGGAAGCTGCCACAAAATCGACATATTAACACTAAAATATTGGCCGATGCAAACAGTATGTATGACTTTGGCATGCACTGTGTAGAAGTGATTGGATGAAAGTAAAGCAATCCAGCACATCCACGGGTGCATGGATGGTGACGTTCATGCTCTGCTGAGTCCAGATGTGCTTTGCCTCATGATAAGGCATCTTCTACACATCAATAGAAGGGCAGGGCTGCGGTTGCTTCTATGTGCATTTACAACAGCACATTTGTGCGCAGGCACACACATTTGTCTGTTTATTCCATTTTGTGTGAGGCACATGTTCCTGACTTTGTCCTTTCTTCTGCCTGTATCCCCCTGCAGATCGAAAAAGAGATCTTTCTGGTTGAAAAGACATTCATCGATGGGGAGGTGGCACTCCTGAAGCTGAGCAGGCCTTCATGTCAGCCACATCCCCGCATCCTCTCCGACGAGATGGTCCTGCGAGATGGCAATCAGAACCTGGTGGCCGTGGGCTGGGGACACAAGATGGTGGAGCTGGGACAGGACATCTTTGGCCACCTGCGCGTGGAGACGACGCATTACTTCAGCGCCAATTTGTGCAACAACCCAAAGCTGATGAATGGTGAAGTGGCAGAAGGGCACTTTTGTGGCTTCAATTCTCAACAATATGCCTCCTGCATTGGTGAGTTGAGCCGATGCTAGCCATGGATTTCAGCGTGTCCAGCTGTGTTCTCTCTCTTCGCCAAGATTCCTTTAGGTCCCATGTGGCTGAGTATCCAGATTGTATGCAGATTGGACATTGCTAGTACAGGATTGAGATGCAATGCTATTTGAGCAACCCCTTGATTCTCTACTGTGCGCTCTGACTGGAGCTTTTGCTTTGGATCGCAGTGGACTCTGGATCCCCCATTCTGCTTCCCCACAGGGCCGATGATTTTCTGGAGGACGGTGGCTATCAGACCCTGGATTTCTTGGTGGGCATCAATTTTGGAGGGGCACCGTGTGGTCAGGCTGCCAAGCCTGATGAGTACGTGGACGTGGGGCGCTTGGAGCCATGGATTAAGGGCACCATTGCCAAAGAGGCAGAAAGGCTGGCAACAGGCACTGCTGCTTTGGAGGTGGGTTTGCTTGGTGCAGCATCATAACAATCTGGAATCCCCAACCTTGCATGTAACCCCCCTGTTGCTTAAGTGGGGCCCTTGCCACTTTGCATTGCTACAAATCGCTCCTGGTAAGATTCAAACAGAATACATTGGTACAGGGGGACATGTGTAGGTTGAGGGAAATGGTCGCTGTGGTGAAGTTGGCTCTGGGAGTTCAACATTGCTGGTGTGGAAAATGTGGGCTGGTTTTCTTGCATCCAAGATGCACTTCTGAATCTCTTTGACTACAACCCAAGTGCATAGTCGTTGCCATAATGAGAGAGGTAGTAATCGCCACTTATACCAGTACTTCCATCCACAACCTCTTCGCAACTGGTGCTGTAAATGTTCTCCACTGCTCCCATGACGTGCCTGCTCCCTGTTCTCCCATGACGTGTTGATTGAATGCACAGCAGCATTTGTGCGGAAAGGATTACTTCAATGCTGTTTTGTTTTGGCAGTTTCTTTCATTTGTTTGTTGTACTGAACCCAAAACCTTGGCTGCTTCAGGAGCAGATCAACAATAACTCTCAGCCCATCACAAAGGAGGACCTGCTCAATACCATTAACGCCTTTGCGCCAACACGCCCTCAGGTTGGTCCACCTGGGAGTAAACCACGCTTAACATCCAGATGGCTGGCATGCAGTTTCTGTGGGAGATGCAGCATTGCAGATTGGATGTGTGCCACTGAAGGAATTCGCTGTCCTGTGCAAAATGAGCGGATTAATGCTTGCTTTGCTTTTTTTCCTCTCTCGCTGCCACTCCAGCATATGCGAAAATTGTGCTTGCCTGAATTTGTTAGGCGTTGCAATAGTCCAATTGGCCGTGCCTTTATGCGATGTTGTTTGGGACACCCATTGCTGGACTTCCAACTTGCATTGACATCTGGCAAGTGCAGTCTTGGAAGAGGTGCCATCATGCTGTACTTCTGATCAATGGCTGAGTTGCTGCACTGTCAAACTTGTCACACAACCATAGCAGTCTGTGATGCGACAGACAGGACTCCAGTGTGGCTGATATTGGATGTAAATTTGCAAAATCTGTGCAGTACGGACGTCTGTTATTGTTGCATTGCTCAGTTGCAGACATCAGTTGAATTACTTCTCTCCAGTGAAGATGTTACATTAAGCAAAAAGGGAAGAAACAAAAGCGCTTTTTGATTAGTGTGGGCTTGCGTTACCCTGCTTGGCTGCGAGTCTCAAGCAATGATGCTTCCAAGCTGTTGTCTGATTTCAATCAGCCATCTGCCCATATCTGACGGAAAAAGTAATAGCTGGCATTGTCGCATCAGCCCTCTTCTGTGTGCCTATAATCTGTTGTGTGCTGGTCCTCAGGCCAGCGACTACTTCCTGGTGGCTACCCTGGTAACCATTTGTGTAATGTGCTTCACTATGCTCATGTTAAGTGGGCACAACCCCAGGAATTCCGAAGGGGGAACGATGGTCATCGCTGATGTGGTGGAACAGTCTTCACCTCATGGGAGAACACCTCCACACCTGATGGGAGGCACCTCCACACCTGCTGTGAGAGTAATTCCCCCAGCCCAGGACCATCAAAGGAGGGAGAACTCTGCACCTGCCATCAGGACGGTCGATGCAGGGGGATCAATGAACCTTCAGAGGATAGAAGACGCCCCACCGCTGAACGGCAGCTCTCCAGCTGCCATGAAGAGCCCCTTTGAAGTGTACAAGGAGAGGATGGAGTGGCTCTACAAGATCAAATCGTTCCCATTCTTCAATCTGGACATGCAAGCTTCCATTCTGGAGGTGAAAATGTATGTCAACCAGTCTCTGGGGTCAGGCGGCAGCGGTACAGTGTTTCCTGGGATGCTGCTTGATTTGGCCATTGGCAGGGAGCAGAAGGTGGCGATCAAGAAGATGGATCCTTTGAAGATGACAAGCGAGCTGCAAATCGCCAAAGTGGTGTGCAGGGACAGGCACCCCAACATCGTCCAGATCCTGGGTGCCAGGCTGGACAAGGTGGAGGCGCCCAACAGGCAAAGCACCATCATCGATGGGTACATGGTGATGGAGCAGATGTCCCACAATTTACGGGCAGCGTTGCAAGACCCTGGGGTCGCGCTGGGCCTGTCACGGGCCCAGGCCCTGGATATCTTGATTGGGGTGGCCTCCGGGTTGATGCACCTGCACCAACTGAATGTTGTGCATCGGGATGTTAAGCCTGGCAATGTGCTGCTGAGACTGGCGATCATGAGCGGGAGCATGAGTGTGGAGGTACAGGATGTGAAGTTGACAGACTTTGACCTGTCAGGGGTGTATGAGGACAATCAGGTCAGTGTTGGGATCTGTGGGACACCAGGGTACATGGCCCCAGAGTTGAGGGGCGAAGATGATGGGGCCAAGGTGCATGGGAAGGCACTGGACATGTTCGCCTTTGGCCTGCTGATCCGCGAAGTCATCGGGGGATCCAAAACCACATTGTTGACTTCGTGCCCAAGAGAATGGCATGCCCATGTGCAAGGCATAGCAGACCTTGCTGAGCGCTGCACTTCACAAGACCCGACACAGAGGCCGAGTGCTGCTGAGGCCCTGGAGGTGCTGAAGTCAGTGAAGTCAAGATCATGGTTCAGCAGCAGCGGTCATCTGAGTCGCAAGCTCACAGACATCATTCACCTCCTGCATTTGGGCAACAACTGCCCCAGAGCCTTTGGGGACTCCAACTCGTATGGGGGTCTCTGGTGGAGGGAATGCTTGAAGCTACTGGTGGCCGTTGCAAGAGAACTGCACAGTCAGCGATCAGCTGTCGCCAACCTCTCAGCAGATATCGACCTGGGAAGTTACCTGTTCATCGAGAAGGTTGGCAAGGATGATGGCAGCCATGACTACAAGGCTGTGTTTGCCATCCCAGAGTCAGCGGAAGCTGTTCTGCAAAAAGGTGACGACTCAGTCCAGGAGCCTTCCGCCAGCTTGGGTACCCCCAAGGACAACATCTCTGCATTAGCCCAGCTCATGGATGATCTGTTCGTGGCGACTGAGGAGGAGCGCTTCCTGCAAGAGAACGCGCTGCTGCCTCCTGAGCTGGTGGACCTTATGGAGGCGGTGAGGACAGGGAGGAATGGCGACACCTACAACAGTGTTGCCGATCAGCTCCAGGCAGCATTGGATGGCGGCCGCTTTTGGCTCATCAAAAGGGCCATTCCGTGCAGGCGTCCCAACAGTGCGTCAGGTTCTGGCAGTGTGTAGGTTATGGTTAGACAGTGGTGGTGTCGTGTCTGTGGCATGATTGGTTGGTAAGGTTAAGTTGCTAGATGGTAAACTATTGAGAAGAGGATGAGGGGATTGTGGTGGAGCTGTGATTGGAGCAGGGAACCCTGGGGGAAGAGGCAAAGTGAGAAAAACATGAAGTCGGGAAGGGGCTTTCCAGGAACAGGGGGAGGGTAATGGGCACAAAGAAAATGGAGAAATGTGAAACAGGGAAAGGGGTAGAGGAACAAATGTACTTGAGGGATTTGTGTGTTGAGGAACAGCGCTTAAGCAGAAGGCGCTGCCTGCAGAGGATTTTATAGGAAAAAGTGTCAACTTGTAAATGTGCATTTGCATTTGTTAGGAGTTTGCATTTGTTTGGAAGGGGATGAAAGTATGTGTCAGGACGCGCAGCCAGCAAAGGATATGGCGGAAGGATATGCGCTAACCATGATTAAGGCAGCTGTCCTCTGGCAAGGCTGGCTTGAAGACAATCCATTTTGGCAGTTTGGGCAGTTTGGGGCCAAGTCAACGAATCGATTTGATTGTATTTATTGCCGTTGAGTCAGAACCTGCCATTCATTGCGACATGTCTGAAGCAGTTGCTAGCTCAAGCAGCACTGCTGCGGAGCAAGGGATTAGTTATGTTGCTGGTGCCAGCCCCTGAGCAGCAGTGCTGGACTCGTGTTATGAGTAGTAGGACACAGAGGACATTGAATCCATTGCACTGGTGCTCTGGATGTATTGATGATCGGTGCTTGACTAGAATGCGTGCGAGGGGCGTGGGGGCTGTTGTGATCATGTGATGACAAAATGGATGGTGGGTGATGTGCAGCGTGTGAATCTCGGAACCTGTAAGCACGGAAGAGCTTTTGAGCTTGCGAGACTATGGCGGGAAGCGCAATCCGACGGTCGGTTTCCGCTGCTGGGCAGAGTAGCAGGTCTCACAACGGATGTGGCGTTAACAATGCCTTCCCGTTCCAAGACACTGCTGCTGTGCAACTTGAGGTGGAACTTGCCGTAAGCCCCCAAGTTCACAACAAAATGCTGTCATCTCTACGATCGTTAACCCTACCCTCAAGAACCGTTTCCACCATACACCACACTGAACGACGGCTGATGTGAAATGATGCTGAGCGTCAGAGGGCGCAGGCTCTCATTTCTTTGGGAACGGATACATGCGGTTTGCATGAAGCGCAAAGGACATCGACATAAGAATAAATAAGAATGCGGAGAGGGAGGATCCAACGACGACGCTTGTTCGCCAGTAGAATGTTGGCAGCTTCAGGACGGCGTTTTCCAATTGCCGCCTCCCATCGCTGTCCAAAAACAGATCAACGATTGCCGCCGTTCTTCCTCGACTTAAATCTCCAGATTCGACAATGCCCCCCCACCCCCGGTGGCAGAGATCCCTGGTTACAACGTTTTGGTGTCATTACGTAACTCATCGTGGGATCGCAGCAACGTCTCTGCTATTGGCTTGTAGAATACAAGCCCTGGCAATTGTGCACACCAGCCCAGAACAATTCTGTTACATCATGTGTACATCAACTCTATTTCGCCCGGGAAAGCACTCCTAATTGTCTGCTCAACAAGCACCAGAGGCATTCCAGCACAAATCCCAACGGTCCCCTAATTCAAACTCACCAGTATACAACGCAGGCTCGGCAAGCACTACAATCATCAGCACATTTGTGAATCCGCAGGCAGCACCGCCTCACGGTATAAGAAGCGATGTTGACCGGTCATCCATATCGTTAGTTTCTCCCGTAGCCGAATCGCGACCCAGGCCGTGCAGGCCTGCACCGCACGGCAAAGGTTCCCGGACATCTCTGCAGCAATGCCCTCGCCATTCCGCAACGCGGCTGACTGATCCCGCATGCCCCCGGGCGCGCATCAATCGACAGCCGGCGTGTCAAAATTAGCCTATTCTCCACCCTGCTCTATCTGGACGCCGCCTTTCCTCAGAACTAGGTATTCAACAACGACAGTCGAATCTCCGACCCACATTTGTGCAGCCAAACTGCCGCACACTTTGACGCCACAGCCCAAAGCCACTGTTCCGCAACCCCATCTTCGGCCCACCCCAAGACAGTCTGCCCTTCCCCAAGCGCCTCAAAACGACCCAGAAACCCCCCCCCTCCCCGCCGACACCACCAGCCCAGCCTCCCCCCCCCCCAAAAAATATGCAAAGAAAGCGAAGACCTGGCGCCTTCCGTCCAGCTACCTCCGCCCCCGCCGGCTTCCAGGCTCTTTCCAGCCGGAAGGCGGGAACCCCCCAGGCGCGGAGCTCCCTCGCCTCCTGCGGCGCCGCCAGGGCGTCCACGGCTCCCGTCGTTCCCGGGCGGTTCCCGTATTCCCTGGGCCGGTTGGCGCCCTTGCACGTGGACGCCCCGATCTACTATCCCAAGGACCCGCCCACCAGAGAGCGCACAAGAGACCTGCGCCTGTCGCCGTCGCAGAGGGCGGCCGACTGTTACGGGTGAGCACCATAAGAGTCCACTTGCATTCGCGGATTGAAATGTATCAAACAGTATATTAACCCTTTGTTACTCATAAGGGTGACTGCTGCATGTTAAAGCCATGGGGGTAGCCATCCGCTACCTATTGTGTCCGAGAAAGGCTCTTTTTGTGCGTGCTGACTCGTTGTGTTGGATCTGGTGGCTGCCGCCTGATGTGTCAAATTTCTTCACACGTCAAATGGCGATTTCACTTTCGGCCAAGTGAATGGATAGGTGGATAAATGGGTCGGCGAATCAGCAATGCATTGTCGATTAAGTTCATTGCGGTTTTGTTAACCCGCGATAGATGGAACATGAAGCCTACGCGGATTGAAATGTATCAAACAGTATATTAACCCTTTGTTACTCATAAGGGTGACTGCTGCATGTTAAAGCCATGGGGGTAGCCATCCGCTACCTATTGTGTCCGAGAAAGGCTCTTTTTGTGCGTGCTGACTCGTTGTGTTGGATCTGGTGGCTGCCGCCTGATGTGTCAAATTTCTTCACACGTCAAATGGCGATTTCACTTTCGGCCAAGTGAATGGATAGGTGGATAAATGGGTCGGCGAATCAGCAATGCATTGTCGATTAAGTTCATTGCGGTTTTGTTAACCCGCGATAGATGGAACATGAAGCCTACGCCCAATTTTGTCTGCTGACATGGCAATAGTGACATTAGCGGCAGCAAAGTGGATCCAACGACATGTGCTGCCAATTCCTTCTGAAAATCCCTCTTTAGGAAAACTTGCACCCAGTGCAGCACATGGCGCACAAGATGGCTGCAAGTTCTCTTTCAGTCGATCTGTCTCTGCGGCCACCGCCGATTTAGAATGCCTTCCTCCGTAGATTCCGAACATCTCAAAGAAAGCTGTTTTTTGAAATTCGGATTGCAATGCTCATATAGGATTCAATTTATCTGTACCATCGTTGAAGCCGTTCTTTCAGAAATTCAATTGCCCTCAAATGCTTGCCACGAGGCCTTGTGGGTGCTTGCGCATTGTAACAATATTTGCAGACATTTGTTGCAGGCTGGGACATTCCGAAAAAGTTGTGGACATGTCGATATCTTGTGCTCCTCGCGCTAAAGTGGCTCGATCGGCAGTCTCCAGCTTAGAAAGGTGGCGAAGTCGGCAAGATAAGATTTCCAGTAATTGGCATCCAAGCAGCCTATCTGACATTTTGATGAACTGATTAGTGCAGAAGCAATTCAATGTGCTCCATTGTGCATTGAGATTTCACTTATCCACCCAAACTGGTATTCAAAGTGTGGGATTCATCCCGATTTGAGATCAGTCAGTATATATTCTGATATATGTTGCAATGAATGCAGTGAATATTGAGAACTCATGGTAGTTCCTGGATGAAAATCCCCATATCCGGTAGCGAATACTTCGAAGTATTTTGTTTTTCTTTCTTTCATTTTTCCATTTCTTTGGGGGAGTGTGGGAGAGAGTTCACATGTCCCACATATTTTGAAATCGAGCAGTATACAAGCAACGGTACCCATGCGTGCAATATCCAGGATATGGACATAACCTGACTACGAAAGTTCCATGTTCAGAAAATTGAGGTTCCATACCTTGGGTATTGCTACGTTCATGATATGCGCCCCCATATCCTGGATATTGCGCATTCAAGGTATGGCGCCCATATTCAGGATTTCGACCGGCAACGGAATATTCTTAGCTCAAGTTCCATGCTCTCCGCCTCGCAACTCTGGCATCAACTGTGGTAAGGTTCCTCCAACCCATGCACTCATGGATGCGTGGATCAGTTCTTGAGAGAAACAATTTTCGTTCCTTGGAATATGGAAGGATCATTCCCAGAACGCATCGCTCTTCAGGCGAATTGAAAATATCTTTGTGTAAACAATGATTCCCATTGAAAACATATTGCAGAAAAATGATTCTGTTCAGAAATGTTCTCAAGCAAATATGCTTTTTCCTCCAATGAAGAAACTGTGTCGTGCTATGCTTTCGATTCAGCTATCGAAATCCGATTGAAACTAGGCACATAGAAGCGGTGCTGAATCTGACGCCACAAAGATGCAAATCTCCAGACGCGCTGCCCAACAACGTATTGAGCATTTATAACCATTCTCGCTGATGTGAACAACGGTGTTAGCGCTGCTGTTGCTTGGTATGCCCAACACATTGCACAATCCGAATTTGAATTTGCATCATTTTCCTACCCAGACCACAGCTCCAGCGCCGAAGATCCTGCAGCTTTCAGAGGCTTCACAGGGTGAGAACTCAGAGCTACTGAGTGGCTGCGATCCGCGCAAGTGCGCCACCGCACAACTGCATGGCAGCGCGTCTGTTTAGCTGTGTGCCTGCGCAAGCGCAACCTCGCCACATCCAACGTGGCAACTTGTCTATGGTGGGTAAATTTCAGCAGCGGGAGGGAATTATGCCACTGGTCATGACATGCGACATCAAGACCGAAATCCAATACGACTTCTTCAGTGCGTATTTGAGGAACCCTCCTCTCCCTTTCGAT